TTACAGATAAATGTGCTGTAATTGAATTATCACATACCACTGAGTCGATTCCTTATATTGTGGAGTCACTCGATTCGAATACCGGCCTGGATATCGGCTGTTTTGAGGTTCTTATGTAGTTATCCCCAGTCTCTCCTGGCAATGGGCGAGAAAGTACATTCGAATAGGCCACGATCGCCATTTTCCAGATCCTTGCGAACCTCCTACGGTCATATCAGATATAACATCTGTAAAATAACTTCAGGATCACTTCCTTTAATCTCTTAATTGCGCTCTTGGTTTATTTGCTGAGAGACCTAGTTCGAACCTGTACTGCATGACATGGTTAGATTTTTCCTGTTTTCACCAGTTAACCTGAGATTCATGAGTAATATCAAATGTGTCTCGACTTGTCCTACATACATACAAATCCATTAATTCATGTGAATGGTAAAGAGAAGACTCCGGCATACGTTTCTGGATGTTGCTGACGTAATTAGAAAGAAATAAACTACATGTGTAGTTATAAATAAATTAGTCGTTTAACAAGAAAGAACCGAACAAACGCAGAATTTAAACTGAAAAAATTTACGAAATCGGTGCTAGGCCTGAATATTTTCCTCGAGAATCCCTTAGACTCCTTGTACACTAGCCTAGAATTTAAAGTTGGGCTTTCAAAGTGTGTTATGTTTCCGAAAAGGGACTTTTACGCGTGAATTTAAACATTTTATGTAGGTGCAAGGGATGCGTGCGTAACGAGGACCGTTTCCGGCGTCTGCTGTGATGTGGGTGGGTTTTGTATGTGGTTTGTTAGTCTGTAGGCGTATCGAGTCCTCTAAGGGTCCGAGCATCCGCAGAAAAATTGACGAGAGTAACGTGTGTCCGTCCCACCGGACCGTCCGAAAAAATGCAACAGACTCTCAATCTTCCTCTGTGTAGGTCTCTAACAGGCGTAGTTAGGATATCGTCGTTCAATAAACAGCGATATAAATAGCGTCACGTTTTAATGAGTACACACGGTGTTGGGATTAACTCGTAACTGCGAACAGTTATAACCAGGGCCCGGAATTTGATGACATGTCATCTTTTTTTCCTTGTATTCTATGCGATGCTCTTAAATATATAAATCTCGGATATGAGCCGCTGGTTACAGAAATGTAAATTTTATAGGTTATTTTTGTCATTTTTTTACATTGTTAGGTTTAAGGTCATGTTTTCATTTTGGGGGTAATTTTTTGGTAAATTTTTGGACTTTTAAGGGCATTTCTTGTCATTTTTGGCCATCTTAGGGAATTTTTCTTCATATGTTTTCTGAAATGTGAATAACATGGAAGCGAAGTGTTCTTTCTTTTCTTCTTTAGGTCAGTTTCTGATTTTTTCTGTCATTTTTTGAATATTTTCAGGTCATCAAAATCCAGGCCCTGCATATTACATTTTTGGGTCATATTTTAGGTCATTTTTTAAATATTTTCAGGTCATCAAAATCCGATCCCTGGTTATAACAGTCTCACTGAACTACACACTCTACAGATTACCACAGCACATACAAAGTCTTCTCAGTTTATGTCTTTACTAGTCATTGCTAGGTAGCGCCTTCTAGCAATGGAGATTCTTCTACTTCTGTGCCCACGAATAACCAACAACGAGTCCTGACTCAGTACCACCTAACTTAGCTGAGTAAATGCATAGTAAACTGCTGCTGGGCCTCGCCACCGCAATTGTTCTTGATGTCGGACCCGTGGCAAAATTTTTGTTCCTTCCAAGAGCATTTATGTGTTTGTAAATGGGACTTGGGAATGGGCCGCATAGAAAATACTGCTTCCAATAGTTCCTCTTTTGTTTCATGATTATTTGTTGCTGCAGAAACGTGTCTACCGCGCCGTTGCCTAGCAGCGGTCGCCCCTTCTTCCACTAATCCGGCTGCTGAAATGAGCATTCATTCTCTTCTCCCTAATTCGTCACTAGCTCATTTTACTTGTGCTAGGAGACAGCCGGTTGGTATCTGAGAAACTAGAAACCGGACTTCACAAACTGTAAATAGCTAGTCTCACATGTAATGTTTTTGCTTAAATGGAAACTAATATTTCATTTAATAACGCTGCCATGCTTCATTTTTCTCTTTGTTATTAATGTCGCATTACCCATGTATATCGCCGCGAGTTATCAGTAGCAATATTTGTATTTGTATTATTTTCATCCGTTTTGCTACATACTCGTAGTAACACTTGGACAAGTCGTTCGGCAATACAGGTTAACAAAACAAATCTACATAGTTACAAGCATATTACCAAGATTTGTTACAATCATAAGCAATATCATCATTAGCAATAATACATCATTTAAAAAATACACAAACTACTATATACATCACATGAATGGCTGTGACATCCAAACATGAGTACTTGCACCTTCCACTTTTTTTATTAAAACTAACAAATTCATTTATCGTATAAAAAGAATGTTTACCACACTGTTTTAAAATAATGTAGTTCTGCAGAATTGAACATGAAAATCCTTGTTTATTCTTGTATTATAAGTATGAATAATTATATTTTGGATCAAATCTGCTTTGTGCTTTTTTAAGTAACATAACACCTCTAAGATATACAAAGAAGTGACCGTGAGGATGCCATAATCTTTAAAAATTTGCCTGCATGACTTTTGTTTACCAACTCCACTAATTATTCGCAGCACCGTCTTCTGCATTTAAATACCTTTATACTATCAACTTCACCCCCCCCCACCCAGATATTAATCCATATCTCAATAACGATTGAAACTTTTCAAAATAAATGCTTCTTAACATATTTGGACTCAAAACTCCTCTTAGTGATTTAATTATATAGGATATGTTTTACTAAGTTTTGAACATGATGACTGGATGTGGGTATTCCATTTAAGTTTTTCTATAATATCTATACCTAAAAATCTCAGTGCCGATCAGTAAGCAATTTCCAACTTATTATAGAGCATCTGCGGTCTGACTACAGACCTGCTTTTACTAAGCTGGAATGATGCCCGCGCCCATAGCACAAGCGGTTAGTCAGTGGCTTCCCACCGCGGCGGCCCGGGTTCGATCCCGGGTCTGGTCAATTGGGATTTGTGATGGACAAAGTGGCGCTGGGGTAGGTTTTCTCCGAGTACTTCGGTTACCCCTGCCAATCTTCATTCCACCAATTGCTCCACAGTCACCCTCACCTATCACCTGGGGCTGGTACAATAGGCCAGAAATGGCCTTAGTACAAGGGACTTAGTCCCACCCCACTAGCAATAAAAAAAAGATGGAATGACATAGCAGCTGTTTTCTTTTTTTAATATTTATTAAAAGGTTAATTACCTGAAACCATGTTTCAAGCTGTTTCATGATCTTATTTATTTTCTGTTGAGCTACATCTTTATCAGTAACCAGTACATTAATATCGTCTGCAAACAATACCATTTCCACACCTTGTGCATTTAGCGGGAGATCATTTATATACATAAGAAACAGCAGTGGTTCCCCTTGTATTGTTTCACTCAAGGGTGATATATGTATTTTGGATATTTTTATTCAGGTGATTTATTTCAACAAATTGTACTCCGTGAGATAATTAAGATTTAAACCATAAATTAGTAACCACTCTGATCCCATAGTAATTTAATTTATCTAGTAATATATTGTAGTCTATCACATCATATGCCTTTGCCAAGTAAAAAAATATTCCTATAACATGTAACCGTCTATCCATCGCCTCCTGTATAATCTCACTAAAGGTCTGGGAAGCTGTTTCTGTCGATTTGTTTTTCCTAAATCCATTTTGCACTTCTGTTAATATGGTATATTTTGTTGCAAAGGTTATCAACCTGTTATACACCAATTTTTCTAGTATTTTGGAGAAAACCGACAAGATATTGGCCTGTAATTACAAACTTCCTGTCTTTCCCCCTTTTTATACAGCAGTCTTACTTCAGCTATTTTCATTTAGCCTGGCCATACATTTTTCACTAAGTAAGGTCAGTGGTCTAGGTCAGTGTGATTGTGTCCAAAAATATGAGTGACCCATCAGAATGAAAGCCCCTCTTAAGAGCTTTTAATTTGTATGGGAATTAGTGTTCTTTCATAATTATGACCAAAGTTACAAGCATTTTAGTGAGGCTGAGTAGACTTAGTGTTAGCTATAGTGATGTGAAGGTTGTGTTGATTAATACGAGTGTTATAATTATTTGTAGCTACAAGTTATAAGAGTTCAGTAAATTAAATTATTAATCCATACACTGTGTCTAGTCACTAACGCAGGACACTATTACTATTAATGCATAACCTATCAAAGTGATGGGGAAATCTTTTCTTTCTCTTTTTCCTTTATCCCTCTTCTATCTCCAAGTTCTAATCTCCCTTACTGCTTTCCCAGCCCCTTTATTTGCCTGTGCTTTATAATTGATCTCCCTTCCTTCCTGCTAACTTCGTGTTGAAACGTTACCTGTACCCTGTTCCTTTTTTCACTTTGTACCTTTGTTTTGTTTCCTTCTTTCTTCCCTATTGTTTTGTCATCTCTTTATTTGTTCATCCTGTTGTCATCCCTTTTTCCTGTAGTATAGCAGGGGATGAAGATAGTTTGGGGTTTCTCCAGTATTCTCATAATGGAATTTTGGATATTCCCAGAGCATAACAGGAATATGTAATTATTTATATGTAGATGTTTTAGTTGTCCTTTTGTTACTAAAATCAAGTAGATTTCTTATTCAAGCTGTATGTTTTTATTCTGGTTCATGGTTTTAGGAATTGGTTCCTAGCTTTACAGGAAATTTGTAACCTTGATTTAAGGTAGCAGCATGGCATTTGCTTGGAGCAACAGAAGAACCCCTTGAAAAATCTGGCGGTAGCTGGTCTTAAGGCCGAGATTTGAACCCGAGATTGCAACAGTTTGTTGAGAATCAGATAGTGTAATAAAGGAAGATAATCTGCATATGTAGGATATTCCAACATCCTAATTCATATGGATTTGAATTATGTTTACATTGTGTTATTATATTTGTTGCAGAGACAACATTATCCAGAAGAAAATCTGGGAGTTTCCACATAGCCCTAGAGCCAGTTCGTGGCCTAGACTCAAGGTGTATGATTTCATCTAAGCGGCAGGAGCCTATCAGTTATAGGTGAGTATTTATTGTTTCCACTTTTTGGGTATTCATTTTTGTAGTAGCTGGTACCCAGGCAGTTTGTTTTGAAAGGAGGTATGTAGCTTTAAACAATAAAAAGCATAGCGCCATAATTTGTTGAAATCAGTTTCTGAATTGAGAAGAACTAACAGTAAACATCAGCAGTGAAGACCATTACATTACTGCTAACTATAATGATTCTGTAGAAACTCAGTTTGCATCATCTTTTGAAGTAAAATTATCGAATACTGTTATTATAGCATATATATCTGCACTTGAATATCATAAATCAGCTGACAGTGGGTGCTTTTTATTGTAAACCAAATGCTATAAATGCAGGGAAGAAACCATGGGAGTTGAATGTTTGCCCAACAGATGGTACAGATAGTGGCAGATGCCAGTATAATGTTAGGGATTTGTTGAACTGGAGTGGAAAAGGTTGATCTGTGTGTGTCAAGAGTAAGATTAGCATTAAACACAAAGCTCTGGGAAGAACTAATCGCATACTTTCCTTTCACCACAATATGATTATTTCATAAGTAGAAAGAGCTCTAATATGTATGCATAATGAAGTCACTAAAACAATAAGGTTTGAAAGGCTGCAGTTTCAGTATTACTGATGGGAGGGATTTATGTTGTACACCGTTGATATGTCCCCAGGTGGATTGATATACATACCAAGTTCCATGAAGATCAGTTGAGGTATTCAAGTAATATTAGCAAATTGAAAGGTGACAGTGTTGGTGTTACTGATGGTCAGGATTTATGAAGTAGGCTGTTGAGATGGACTCAGGTGGCATTATTCATAAAGATCAGTTCAGGCATTCATAATTTTGGGGTGAGGGAGGTATGCACGCGCACGCACACACATATACATACACACAGAGCAAGGTGATTTTATAAGCCTACTTTTTTTTTCAAAGCAAAGGGGTAGACTAATAATGCTCATTCATTAGTTTAATTACCCCTTTACTCAATGAACTCTAATAACAAGGAATATTAATGCTAGAGCCAAAAGATGTAAAATAATGTAGCATGTAGACACAATTGTTAAGTAATGACTATAAACAACGCCTCCTGCTGGGCAACTATCGCAGAATAAGCAAATTTACTGCAGGCAGTTGTTGAGTAACAGCTTCACGAATAAACATGTTCCCACCATAAGGATTGAACTACAACAATGAGGAGCCGTGTTTTCTGCAGGATCCGTGATGGGTTATAAGCAGGACAAGTTTAGAGTTTAGCCAGTTGTTGAGAGTGTTCCAAAGGCTCCCAGAGCTTTCAGGCAGTAAAATATGACTCAGAACCAAGAATCACTGTGCTGGCGAGGGTAATCGACAATTTAGCAGGTAGTTTAGTCAGTTGTGATATTCGCCACCCATTAAGGATGTAAACAGAGGACATTGTTTGGATCCATTAGGAGCAAACACGTAGTGAAGACAAACTGAGAAGACTTAGTACATGCTGTAGTGAACTCCAGAGTACATGAATTAGTGGTAGTGCTGTAGTTATGATCTGGAAGTGTTCAGTAAATCCAATTACCAGTCCAAACCCCATCTGTAGTAACACTCATACACTTGAAGGTATAAAGTTCACAAATTGTGGTGTTGGAACCAGTAATACATTATGATGATTAGGATTCATCACTTATGGTCATCATTCCCAAGGCTGAGTGTTTGCACGTCGCGTTGACTTTCGTGAACTTCGAACGACACTCTCCCTAATGTGTTCCACTGTAGCGTCAGAAACACGTGGCCAACCGGGTGGCTTGGCATGGCGCAAAGAACATACGGTCTGAACAAAATTCTTGTGCCAGGAGTAAATTGTAGGCCTACTGGGAGGTTCCTTGCGATACTGAGTGCAAAATTTCCTTTGAACTTGTGTAGCAGACTTCGTTTCTTCGAACCAAAACACACAATGAGCACACTCTGCATCTGTGAAAGTAGCCATCTTGATTTCAACGATTTCAACTGCGGGAGCGCTCGCGGTGGCGTATTGGTACTACAGTACCACGTGCATGAAACTCTGTGTTTTGCTACATTATGACAGTTCAAAACGTTGTGTATGTCCTCTGTATAAATTTATATAAGCTTTCGAAGTTGTAAAGCTCTTTTTGAAACACCTGTAGTTACGACCTGTACGTTGCCAATAAAACCAATTACCAATCCGAACGGCGTCTCCAGTCGTCGAAACACGTTACATTATTTAAGTTTTGAGGTTTTCACGGCGATGACTATGAAGAAAGTCGTCTTCTGGGATCTGGCGCCGTGTATTCTTGGTTTTAACCGACGTTTCGGATGAACGTATCTCCTCCATCTTCAGGGCAGGTAGTTGCAGCTACTGCTCTCTGTATTCGCATCGCGATTCACCTGCCCTGAAGATGGAGGCGATATGTTCCTCCGAAACGTCGGTTAAAACCAAGAATACACGGCGCCAGATCCTAGAAGATTACTTTCTTCACGTTACATTATTATTCTTAAAATTAGCAGGTTGATTTAATTTTCGCTTATGGCAGACCGCTTCTGTGGTCTAGTGGTCAGAGTTTCTGACTACAGATCCAGAGGTCCGGCTTCGATTCCCGGCGCTACCGGATTTTCTGAGAAGTAGTGGGTCCGGAACATGGTCCACTCAGCCTAATGAGGATAAATGAGGAGCTATTTGAAGGAAATAGCGGCTCCGTCTAGAAAGCCGAAATAACGGCCGTGGGGATTTGTTGCGCTGACCACACAATACCCTCTGTTCACTAAAAGCTGGCACTAACGTCGCCGACAAGTGGCGGTTTTTCAGTCGGTATAGTTCGCTTGTGGACTAGAACCACAGAGTTTGTTTTTGTTTTGTTGTCAGTCCAGTATAGCACCTATTTCACATTGATCATAGATCACACCCAGAGTTACTGGGTTTTTGGACTTTTTCCTTTGTCCGGTATTCTAAGAACTGGCAAACATAACGTTTCAGAAACTGGATCTGTTTGTGTCCTCAGGTGAGGGCGTTGACACCCATGGTTTTGGGTCCTTGGTTCACTGATACCTGTCTAGTGAATGAGGTTAGTTCTTTCTAAGGGCTTCGACAGAGTAGGTGTATCCCCACCCCCCTCACCTGAGGACAGAAACAGATCCAGTTTCCAAAACGTGTTCTCTACCTTTTTGAATACTGGATGATGGACAAAGTCCAAAAATCCAGTGATCTGAGTTTATACACCATTGTCAGAACCCTTTAGAATCTAATAGGTCACACTTTTGATTTTATCTGAAACAGATTATAAATGAAGTTGGTACGTGGCATAAAATGTATACCTCATTAAAATCTACAACTTGATTTTTTTGATGGGTGGGATGCAACATATAAGGGAGAATAGTTTCTGAACCTAAACAGCATTGTCAGAAGTGTTATTAGTGTTAAAAGTGTTAAATTCATTTGGAAAATAGAAGCTTTCATAAATATTGTACTAAGCTTTGCTTTTTCTCTCTCATGCAGGACATCAAAATTTTCCAGTAATCGGCATCGTAAGTTACAACCATTCAGAGAAACGTGACTATCTAACAGTATCAACAGTGCCAGCATTAGAATCAACAACGCTGTTTCCTCCAAGTTCTTGTTGCTGTTGTCTCCGTCTTTATTGTCACCATCACTGAGATCAGTTGTGGATTGCCCACTGTTGCCAAAATTATTGCTGTCACCACTGGTATTACTCCATCATTTGAATCTTTGTCTTCAAAATGGGGAGTGTGAATGTGAACCGCAGCGTGAGCGATGCATTCTACCGCTACAAGATGCCTCGCCTCCGTGCCAAGGTTGAGGGCAAGGGTAATGGCATCAAGACTGTCATTGTCAATATGATAGATGTTGCCAAAGCTATAGGAAGACCTGCCACATGTAAGTACAAAGTTTATATACAGTTTACCCAAAATGTGGGTGTACAGTTGTAAGATTGTTCTTGGTACAGGTTGTTTAGATATAAACATAATTTCACTGGATTAGGATTTTATCAGATTTTGAGTTTCTCTATTAGCAGTGTTGAACCTTGAGGCTCCATAATAAAAAAGTAAAAAAAAAAAAAAAAATTAAAGTTATCCCTGTAACAGGCTGTGAAGGCCCATAGGGTGGTGAGACATTGAGGGTCCCACATCGCTCAAAGATGGCTGTAAGGTTGTCAGCCCTACGCACCAGCTGCACTTTACTCCCCAGGAAAATTATTTAATTAATTCCTGGTGTATAAGGCTGACAACCTTACCGCCATCTTTGAGCCAATTGTCTAGATAATGTGGGACCCTCAACGTCTCAGAACCCTGTGGGCCTTCATGGCCTGTTACAGGGATAGATTTACTTACATTTTACTAAGCGGCCTCCGTAGTCTAGAGGTAACGTTCCCACCTCATGACTCGTAGTACGCGGGTTCAAATACCCGGCGGAGGTCGTCGAATTTTTAAGGGCGGAAAAATTCAGGGAACAAGTCCTCCGGGAGGGACTTTAAGCCGTGGGTCCCGTGTCGTAGCTTTAGGGCACGTAAAAGAACCTCATACCTCCAAAGGAGGTCACTGAGCCAAAATTGCGGACGTTTCCTGCCCAACAGCAGTCACTAATACCTCCGGTAGATGGGGGAAGCATTATAGATACTTCTCAGCCAGTAGAGCTGGTCTCGCTGGCTGGGCGGGACTGATGGTAAGCACCAATACCGGTAGGATATAGAGACTGGTAGAACTCATAAGAGGGAAGCACAGTGGACCACTACAGGTCTAAGTGCATGGGGAAATCCGCCCTCTCTAATAACTAACTAACTAAACTGACTTTTTTTACTTTTAACTCATTTCTGTTAGATCCTGAGTTGACCCGCAGGGCGATAGTGCGGCTAGAAGGATTAGGTCAACTGAAAAAATTCAGTGACCTAATTGGGACTTGAACCCGCGACCTTCTGGTCTTATATATTCATACCAAAGTACTACTGCCTCCCATGATTTTGCAACTCCAAAGTTAAGTTTCAAGTATGACACATTATCAATTTTTGTAATATACTGAAAGAGATTGTGTGTTTGAAGTAATTAATGGCGTAAGTCACTTTTGAATATATTTCTGAGACAAAATGTGAACCCTGTTGGAAGGAAATCTTAAAAACATTACCCACGACCTTACCACCATCTTTGAGCCAATTGTCTAGATAATGTGGGACCCTCAAAGTCTCACAACCCTATGGACCTTCACGGCCTGTTACAGGGATAACTTTACTAACTTTTTACTTTTTCTAGTATGGATTGTGCAGCAGTTCATTCTGTTCAGTCTCCTGTTATGTAGCTGGGCCTTTATGTTTTATAATTCTGGAGAGATTCTACCACCTGTTCTGAGTGTTCAGCCCATTGTCATTATCTAGCTAAATAAGTAGTTATATGTAGTATATCATATAACATTAATTCTAGTTAATTTATATTATCTGTTTCATATACAGTCAACTCTCGATTATCCGGGATAATGGTGGGGATGGAAATCAAGATTAATCGAAAACCCGTTTAAGACAAATTTTATTAAAAGTAGTACTGTAATACTGTACCTTCATAATACTATAGGCCTACCTGTATTTAAATTTATTCAACCTCATTTTTATGTCATCTCATGGCCTATTTAATACTTTTTTTACATTACACTGAAATATGAATTAGTTATTTCAATCACAGTCTTCAACAACATCCAACATTTTTTATGAGTATTCACACTTAACACTTAAAAAAATTAATATTGTTGTTTACTTTTTCGCGGCATNAATGCAGAGCTCGGTTCACACTAGTGCGAAAATAGTGTTACAACTCGCCATGTGAAACAAAAGTGAATGAATATTAAACAACATATAAGCCTCAAAAAAGCCTCAGTAGCCCCGGTTAAGCTGCAAACCGGTTAATCCGCCCCCGGGTAATCGAGAGTTGACTGTATATGATATTCTCAAGATAAAATATTACAAATCCACGAATTGTGAATATGTAGGAAAATTTAGGAACACAATGTATTTTATTTAAATTGTGCCATTGAAGTGTGGGAACTGCTCACAGTCAAGCAAGTGTGACAATGCAAGGTTCATTGCTTAGTTTATATGTTCTTTAGTGGACAGAACAGGGCTGTTCATGCCAAGTATATCTCCACTGGCAAAGAAAGAAGTATATTCAATTTCATTTTCTTGTGTGATAATTTTGAACTTCCACTATTGAAAAGCCATATATATTTTGTAATATATATAATATGTATAATGATGATTATATACATGTTTATTTTTACTAATACCTTTTAATAAACACATTTAAAGCAGGAAGGTGCAGTGTAAAAGCAAGATGTCTTATTTTCTCCTTAACGTAAAAAGGGTAATGTGAACATCTGTTCTCTTGAGACTACAGAATAATTTGTCTCTAAGGAAATCATGTCATTAGAGTTGTACTTTATGTTCTTATGCAAGTGAAGTAGATTTTAATGTGAACTTCTTTTCCACATAGACCCCACAAAATACTTTGGCTGTGAACTGGGTGCTCAGACCCAATTTGACTTCAAGAATGACCGCTTCATTGTGAATGGTTCACATGATGCTACAAAGCTGCAGGACTTGCTTGATGGTTTCATTCGCAAGTTTGTGTTGTGTCCCGAGTGCGACAATCCAGAAACCACATTGACAGTGAGTCAGAAAAAGTCAACCATCAACCAAGCATGCAAGGCTTGTGGCTATCATGGACCTCTTGAGTTCAACCACAAACTGAACACTTTCATCATCAAGAACCCTCCAAGTAAGTCCTTTATGCTTTCATAAGTAATTCTCACTGTTGTACAGTATTAGTGTATAGCACTCCATCTTATAGTTATGATGAAATTAAGAATTGAATAAATGCAGGACTGTTAACTATTACTCAGTTTTCTCATACTCTGTATGAGAATATTAACAACATCACATACTGCATTTCCTCCCTATATGTTGTTGCTACTTTTTGCCATTTTCATCAGATTCTTCCAATCAAAATATTTGTTAAAGTGTTTCAACTAGTGAATCTGGTCTTGATCTCAACATGACCACAGAATTTTGCGAGATCACCATGTTGTTACTTTTCAACAGGGTGCTTTTAAAGTTCATAGATGACCATATGTGTGCATGTCTGTGCACATGTCAGAAGCTTCTACCAAACTTCTAGGGAATATTGTTTGAGCCAATGTAATCAAACATACCGCTGCCCGAAATTTAACAGTTACAGAGATACAAGAGAAGTTTTAAAGGAAATGAGATAGTCTGTTTTGTTGAAATTATGTGTGGCAATTCTCTGACATGGAGTAAAAAGCTTTTTGGCACCTCACTGTGCAGGTTAATGCTTGGTACTAACCAGTCCCCAGTTAGTTAAAGTTGATAGTTTATGTGGCACAGTTTTGTTAGCTCAGTGTTATCATAACATTTACCTTCAGCATTAATGTGAGGTGCTCTCATAAAACTGACTTTTGCATTTCATGTTCCAATTCTGTAGTGGTAGTGTACATATTCTGCTGTTGAAAAGTAACAAAGATGTTTTCTCAGTGGAAGGACTGCAAATAGAAAAATATTTGTTAATGTTCATTGAATGATGTTTGAAATTGGTTTGTCTCTAAGTGTATGTGCATGTGCACATGCACATGTGGCACCACCCCTCTTCCCCCACCTGAAAGGGAAGTATTGCCAAATGTGAATGTATCAGAAAACATTCTTGAGATGGTAGAGCCCATGATTAAGCATTCATAGAATTGCTGGTCACAGTGACATTCTGCATATGCATATGGCAAACATAATTGTAGCCAATCAGTATTCATATCATGAGAGCAAGGTTCATCATCTTCAAATTGGAGTCCTTGCTCTGCATATGGGTTTATGTCATTGGCTCAAAGAAGACTGATAGGTGAGAAGTGTAATTTGTTTCATGGATGAAGATTCCTTTGTATAGGACAGTAGAAATATGTGAAATGTCCATACATTAACATCTGTACATCCACATCTGATGAAAGTTACTTCCAGAGGAGATTCTCAGTGCATGTGTGGATTTGTTTGCTTAGGAATAAGTTAAGAGGACCAGTCACTTTGGTCACCATCTAACTGAACATGTTATGAATTATTTTTGAGAAATTAATTGCCAAGTTTGTTCACACTTCATACACACTTTACAGTTCATACTTCATATGAGTGGGAATACGTACATTATTGTTTTCCAAATTTTTGGACAGGTCATATCAGACCACACATCTTGCCACTGAGGTTGCCAGACTTAACCCAGCCAATTACTTTTTTTGGGCCACAGCACAAAACCTGCACTGCTTCATATTGTCACATGTAGGATGGTACGCGTGACGAGAATGATGGGTTTTATTGGCAGCTTGGTTACAACCTCTCTTAATAACACTTAAATACAGTGCTATCACTGATTACACACTAGGATTCCCAGTCTTCACTAGTTGTCTTCTGGCAACGGAGCTCAACATAGAAACTAGCACATCAAAACACTATGGACATTACACATGAATAAGGTCTTCTAATCACACACACAGTCTTCACACAACGAACTTTCCCTAGCTGTTTTTCACCGAGAACTCCTCACTGTCACTTAAACACTAAAATCTGTTTTGTTCTCTAACTGTCGTTATATAGCCTCCACACCGACCAACAGAAAACGGTCTCTAGTGTTGTAGAGGAGTGTTTACCACGACATTGCATAGCAACAGTTGCGGCATGGACTCCATAGAAAGCCAGTCACCTGATCGCCATCTCATTAGCCCATTGGCCCACTGACTGTTGCCCAGCAACGAACTATAAACATTCACCCTATTGTTGAGTGGGCTTTTGCGACTGAAGGTTGTTTACAGTTCATTACCTAGAAACACTCTTTTTCCATCCACATTAGAATATTTTTGTATTGGCAGATCACATACACAGTCTCCAGTAGACCAGTTGCTACAGCTGCCCAGTCAATACTGATGTCCTGAGAAGTGTATGGATTCTCAAGGAGGAATATTTGAACAGTTGCTCTGATTTTGTTTTGTGTATTTAATAGTTTGGTCAATTATAAGTGTGTTACAACTCATTTTCTTTAGTACTTCACCTGTCTGTATCACTTAACCTTCAGATGGGATGTGTTTGATTATTTAAACCCAAATTAACCCAAGGAACATTTGCTAGAACTTTGGGATGAACCTCCCAGTACATCCTATATATATTTCATGACCTCAAAGATTTGACATCATGTTACTACTACTTAATGTAAAGTCAATTTACTTAATTTATAAATACTCAAATTTATCACTTGTCATTTAATGAGAAATGTTTCATCCAATAACTGTGCTATTTTTCATTATGAAATTAATAAGAATGTTATGTTTTTCAAAGATCCATTATTATACCTATACAGTGGAACCTCGCTTAACGAGCATAATTCGTTCCAGAATCTTACTCGTAATGCGGAACACTCGTTAAGTGAAACAGTTTTTCCCATGTAAATTGATGTAAAATACGATAGTGCTTTCCATGCTGAAAATAATACTCAGAAAATTTTATGTATAACGTTTATTAAAAAAATATATATATATACATTGTTAAGGAGTGTGAATCATCTTCATCTTTTCTTCTATGCGGAATGAACCAGCCTGGAATACGAATTTGATTTGCAGAAAAAAAAATTGAAATAATTAGTTTATTATTTATGATGCATATCTAATTCTCTTTTACTAGAAAGCTGTCTAGAGACATTTGTTTTTGCCGATGCTTCAAAATTTGGTGAAAATGCGACACAGCATTATCATTAAATAAATTTGTAGCGCACATAGCCACTGCCTTATTGGGGTGATGCTTCTCAGTGTATGATGCAACAGTTTCCCATGCTTTCAGCATTTCTCTTATTGCGCCAGAAGACTGTTGCTTTGCTTTTACCTCCTCCTCCTCCTCCTCCTCTGACAAACTCTCCTCCAAAACTTCTTGCTGTGAAACATAATGCAACTCCATAAGCTCTTCGGTGGTCAGCTCTTGGCTGTGCTCTTCCACAAGCTCATCGGTGTCATTGTTATCCACCCCCAGCCCCATGATCCTGGCCAAAGACACAATCTCCTTGACTACAGGCTCCACACGTACTATCTCAAACCCCTCAAAGTCACATTCGACAACGATCTCCAGCCAAAGCTTCTTGCAAGCAGAAGTGAGGGTTCTCTTGGTAACCCCTTCCCACGCCCTTTCAATCATCTTGAGGCAGGCAACGTTGTGGAAGTGATATTTCCAAAACTCTCTGAGAGTGAGATTGGTCCCTTCAGTCACCTCAAAACAACACTCAAAGAGTGCTTTAGTGTAGAGCTTCTTAAAGTTAGAAATAACCTGCTGGTCCATAGGCTGGAGTAACGGAGTGGTGTTGGGAGGCAGAAACTAGATCTTGATGAATTTAAATTCTTCAAGGAGGTTATCTTGTAGGTCTGGAGGATGGGCAGAAGCGTTATCCATAACAAGCAAGACATGGAGTGGCAGATTCATCTCAAGCAAATATTTTTTCACAGAAGGACCAAACACTTCATTGATCCAATCAGTAAAAAGGTCCCAAGCCTTGTTGTTGGACCTCCACGTCACATTTAGCCTGCTCTTCTGAACTTTACACTTCTTGAAGGCTCGTGGAGTTCCTGAATGGTAAACAAGCAGCGGTTTAATTTTCAAATCACCGCTTGCATTGGTACAAAATAGCAGCGTGAGATGGTCTTTCATTGGCTTATGGCCGTGCAGTGCATTATCCTCTGCTGTTATATAGGTTTGCTTCGGCATCTTTTTCAAGAAGAGACCTGTCTCGTCACAATTAAAAACCTGTTGCGGCAGGTAACCCTCAGAATCTACAAGCTTCTTGAAGTCGCTGATGGAGTTCTCTGCTGCCTTTGTGTCGGAGCTTACTGCTTCACCGTGCCTTACAACGCTGTGGATGCCGGTTCTTCTCTTAAACTTCTCGAACCCTCCATGATTTCCCTTAAATGCTTCTTCTTCGGCCATTGATGATCCTGGCGTCTTCTTAACGAGGTTGGCGAAAATCACTTTCGCCTTCTCACAAATGAAGTTCTTGTGTTGCCTTGCAATTGCTTTTCGTTTATCCATATGAGGAGCAACCTTTTAGCATCATCGAGAATACGTAACTGTTGTGTAGATATTCTTGTCACCCCCTTTGAATCATCTCTCTCCCTAATCTTGTCCTTGTTCTTGAAGATAGTGCAAATCGTTGATGTAGACCAGTTGTATGTGCGTGCTAGATCAGCCATGCTCACACCTCGTTCTTTGCTTTTCAGTGATTTTACGTTTCATTTCTGAGTTTATTTTTATTCTCTTATGGCTGTCTTTTTGCGGCTTCTTCTTGGGGACATGTTTGCAATGGTTATTAAACTTTGCACAAAAAAATCACAAATAATATGTCTGAACACAAGTTTGGAAAAATGTGTGATCACAAGTGACACTAAGATGCTAGCAGAACAAGTGCTAAACACAGACCGATGTAGCAAGCGCACAATCCGGGACTTCCCCTCTCGTGGCTCATTAAGCGAGTCATTTTTTACAATTTGTTTTGCTTGTTATGCAAATTACTCGTTATGAGAGTTGCTCGCTAAGCAAGGTTCCACTGTATTTCAAGATTATTATTATTATTATTATTCTTCCTCAAGATTTCTTACAGCTGCTATGTTGAACCCTTTGAATGTAATTATTTAAAGATATGGCATGGCATCTGGAATATATCTAATGACATGTCACCTTTACAGGACATCATTGAAGTGAGCAGTTTCATCATGTGTAATTAGTGGCTGAATCATTAACACTTTACGGACCGGCAATTTAAATATTTAAATCACCATGGGGACCGGCATTTTTAAACCTACTACCCTAACTTGTGCACTGTTCACTTCAAAAATTAATATAAATTCTCCTAATTAATTTTATGAACTGAAATTTTTGGAGAACACTTACCAGTGCTCCTAGAAGTTCTTGAGAGTGTGATATTTATGGAAGCATTCCCAATTGTGAAGTGGCATTACACAGAACTTGCAAATGTAGACAGTCATACTCCTTTTTTTGTGAACTGTGCAAACACAGCATTGCCTAGAAGGATGCTTCCCCTTGGAATGTTTACTCTTCACAGTTTTCATGAGGGCATGTTTCCGCATATCACCCGAGAGTCGCCCAGAGGGGTCCACATGAGGCCTGCATGGGGTGGGAGTTGATGGGCCCAGTCGCACTAAGTCTGTGTCTGACTCTTGTTCTGCCGCCACCATCTGGTCTGTAGCCCATTTGTTTCACCCCCCTCCCCCCGATTTCCAGTAAACTGTCCCACAGTAAGCGTTTTGTCTACTTTTTCCCATGTGGCAGTCCCCACAATGTTACTACCCGCATTTTTGTCGAAGCTGCTGTCACTTTTACTGTCTGTGACCACAATTATTTGTTGTCCCCTGTCACTGCCACTGTCTGAGTCACTATCGCTACACATCTCACAAGGCATGTCAGATAGCTCATCGGAGAACAAGTCAGATATTTCTTGTTCTCCGAGAGATCGCTTGGTCTTCAGCCGCTTTTGTCCTTGATCCATATTGCACTACTAACTTCCTGCCTGGTACATAGAGCTTGAAGACGAACAAAGGCATTTTCCTTTGGAGTGGGATAGGAAAACAGTGAGGTCATGTTACTGACTACTAAGCAAACATTCAGGAAGTCTGTTACGCACCAGTTATTCATCTACATGGCGCCAGTGCAAGGTATAATGTGTTGCAACATAACATGTCCTAAAATCATAATATTATGCGACCAGTCCACCACGTTTAAAAGTGAAAAGCATAATATTTTGTGACTGGTCCACAAAATGTTAAGTTAAATGGCCTTGAGAATGATGTAATGACTACCCATCCAGTGTCCAATTTTATATGGTGAGACTTTGCTGTAACTTTTGGAGTGTACTATGATATGCTTAAAGAAGGATCATCTATGATTATAAAAATACACCTGATGGTTGATGAAGACAACTTGTATAAGGCAGACTATGAGATGGTATTTAGCATATCATACATTTATGAATATATGGGAACCTGAAGGTATTTTAAAATTAAAGAACACATAACCATGTAGTTCATTAGGATTATGAAGTTTTCATCAAGTTAACACTTTGAGATTTTCCACAGTGATGTAAAGAATAACATTAGTCATGTTAGCCTTCTTCCACTGTTCGTGCATTCGACCTCCTCCATGAGTTGGGAAAGTTTTTGTAGAATTGACCAAATGCTCTCTGGATCTTGTAATGTTCACTTGCTTGGGAAGTCTTTGAATAAAGAATGAATAATGATAGGGTTTTAAATGTTTTGAGAATGTGTATAACAGTAGCTGAAACCATGTTGGTTTTGTTCCATTTAGATTTGAATCCAGCTGCACAGGGATCATCTTTAACAGAAGGTAAACGAGGCAAACGCTCAAAGAAGGCAAATGGTGAGTCTAATGGAACTAATGGAACTGAAGATGGTGGTCGCTCCTCTGATAATGACAGCAATGAACAGGTCGTTGAGGCTCCAGACAGACTGGCAGATGAGAATGTAAGTATTTTTGTCACAACTTGTTAGTTTAATTGTAGAAGGGACAGAATCAGTTCCACAAACTGCATAAAATGGACATTTGTGTCCCAGAAAATACAGTTCAAATTATTCAATGGATGAGATATTCACTGTTAACGTATGTGCAGTAAAACTGTACTTTTAACTTAGGCAGGGTTACCAAACTTAAGAATGATTAACAGGCACTTCCCTTGAAATTGTCTTGGTTCCCAAAAAAATCGTCTGATTTTTTTAGGGTTAGACTGACACAAACTTCTTTGATTTGGAAAATGTTTATACCAAATTCATGTCAAAAGTTTTGCATGTTTGCATGCCTCATGACTTGTACTATATAGTGTTTCAGTTGGATGCCATTTTGACTACAGTCTTTTTGGATATGATGCTTTGTTGTTTAGTAGGTAGGTAATAGGTATTTATCTACAAAACTGAATAGCATTGCATCCCAAAAGTCTATTCTTGGTACTCTCAGCTGCTAGAATATCGTCTTACCTGGACATCTGTTGGACTGAGGTTAAATATGCATACAATTAACTGTGAGGTAGAGGGGCTATCAGTACTGGGATATCCACACACTTTGTTTGAAATGTGTTGTCATAGGCAGTGAATATGTTATCTGTGTTAAGCTACATTTTCTGGTTCATGTTATATTAGTAAGAATAATGTCATGTGCACTAGTGATTATAGATGAGGTTTCAATTGGCGACTCAATTTATTAACCGCTTACCAGGTCATAACTCCCAAAAACTATAACACTATCACTGATTTCAACACTTCATAAATCACCACCCACTAAGACTTCTCCAGCCTGCAGTGTCTTCACTAGACATTTCCTGGGTAATGGATTTTAACAGTGGAGACTCTTCAGCTTCACACATCCAAGTCCTCTCTTCACAGACTCCCATATAGAACTAACAACTGACCAACCTCCAGACTTTGTCTTGCTTATGACCTCTTGGCACAGGCCACATAGAAAAGATAGCTCTTCCATTGTTGTGCTGGTGCTTTATTAAGAATCTGCTACCTAACAACGGGAATGATTTTAATAAGCCATAGCCTAGAAATCGATTTGGTAGATTTGCCTGTCATGTGGTTGTCCAATAGTAACGGATCTGCACACTACTGTAAGATGGGTTGGGCATATACCACACATAGGAACAGCTGGAAATTAAAATGTAAATTGTTAGTATGGGTTGGAGAAAAACATTAAAATAGGTCTTGTAAAAAAATACATTGAAGTCTGAAGTAGATTGATCCATGAAATATACCATGTTTTGTGGTGTGGTAGAAATTTGTTGACATTGGTCCAAAGTGTCTGTAACTTCTGCAAGACTGTGTTAGTGTCACATGTCAGAAGATAGTACTCTTCATAGTCATAGAATTTTACTGATATTCCTCTGAAATGCCAGTAATTTCTACCAGACTGCAGTTGTGTTGCATGTGAAGAGAGAGCATTCTTCATCTTCACTGCTTTGAGAACCTCAGATCTCATATGGATAGAACTATTTCAAGATAGGGTCCAGTGACAGGCTTTCTTAAAGATCATACTGAATCTGCCGGTTGTGTAAAAGAAGGCATTTGGAGCTAGTTGCAGTGAAATCCCCAGTTAATGTTTATTTCTTTAAATTTTCCTAATTTAGGATCAGTGTATATGGCCCTCCCAGTTGTCTCCTTGTTTCTGTATTTTTCATTTTCCTTACTTTATTTCTCAAGTCCATTGTACTGCTAGGGAATTTTGTATGGAATATATAAAATACGAAGTCTTCATGCTGACTAAATATAATGAAGTCTTCTCAGGCTTATTGCATATTAACATGGCTGAATGCCCAAGGGGATTTTATTTCGTCTTTAATGGGAGGTTTCACTGAACCTTGTTAGATGTTTAGTTATTATGGATAAATTTTGTGTGCCACAGGATGAGGATGATGGAAAGTGGGCGGCAGAAGTATCAGAGGAAGCTGTTAGAGCTCGCCTGCAAGAGCTCACTGATGGAGCCAAAGGAATGACCATTACTGATGACCTTGAGAAGACAGAGAAGGAACGCATGGACTTGCTGTATGAATTCAGCAAGATCAGACGTGATGCTGGTCAATTGATGGAGAATAATGCTCACAAGGAGTTGGTTGCTGAGGCTGAGCGCCTGGAGATCAAGTCCAAAGCACCACTTGTCTTAGCTGAATTGCTCTTTGATCAGAACATTCATACACAGGTATGACAGTTTCAGAGTGATAAAGAAAGTTAGTTCCTTTCTTTCTAAAGATTTCAGTAATTGTGAGGAAACTAATTATGTGTTAGTGGAAGATTGCAGTATATAGTGAAGTATGTATTTCTGGAGACCATTGCATTCCCTGCTTAATACTGAATATAGTTTGTATTACAGTGGGGATATCATTTTTGTTATATAAAAAATATCCTTCCAAGTAAAATTGTTACTGAAGAGTTCTGTCATCTGGGTATAATGCTGTGTAGTCCTGTGAAAGTCGGTTGACATTTTGGAGGAACATGTTTCCTCCACCTTCAGTTTGAAGAATGATCTAAGCGAGACACCAGGATGAAGTGGGCACTAAGCAGAACGTTATATGCCGGACTATAAAACTCTTCATAGTTATTGCTCTGTGAACCTCATATGCAATGAAATTGTTGCGGCCCTCAACTTTCACTGATGGAACACTGTAACAAATTATGTAGAACTTAATGATGTCAGTCTCAGTCTTGACAGTCTAGCTGGAAGCAGGGCCGTGGCAACTCTTTGTTCATCTGTACAAAAGGAATGCAAGCCTTACAAGCAGGTGGTATGAAGTCTGTGACACATTTTTAGTGATTCAGTGCTTTGCATTTTATTCTGTAAACATGTAGAAATGCAAAAAGTACCTTGTGGATTCTAACAGTTTCCCATGTTATGATTTGTGGAACAATAGAGAATTTGTACTGGAAAGTTTTTATGTTATTACTAGCTGTACCCGGCCACACGTTGCTGTGGCAGATCGAGTGAATTGCTTCCGCTCCGCGAGTGCGACAACCTAAGTTTGATCCTCTGCGAGGCATTATTTGGATGAACTAAAGCAGATTGATTGCACTGAAGAAGAAGAAAGAAAGTTATAACAAAAACATATAAAAATGCAAAACATTAAAAAAGGAAAGAACACGAACTGGAACACAAAGAAACAAACAAAAATAAAAAATACTAACAAAATATTTCAATTCAAACGCAGATCAATCAACACAGCTCACTCCCACCGCCAATTGCACTGAAAAATAAGGAGAACAGTTAAGAAAACGAAATGAAAAACTATGAAAAATTAACTATACTCACGAAATGAACGACGTATAACATGTTACAGTATGTTAATATTGAGTACAATTAATATTTTAACAAGCAACCAACCTGTCACAGGTGTGACATATGTCACACATGATTTTAACATCATAAAGTCTTAAAATACATTTTTAGTGAGTGACATGTTCTTGATGTCTTTTAAATTGTTGCATTATTTACATGTACTTTGATAATAAGAATATGTCGCATGTTACCTATGTAACGTTGTTGTGGTCACGTGTCTCCTATTCAGAGCGACAAATAACTTCCACGTACGTCTCGGATTCAGCGAATAAGTTATTGAACGCTCACTTTTACAGCAGCAAGTACAATTATTATCACGTCCAGTATCACCAAAAAACTCTTCGGAGCTGGACTGTTATAACCTAGTTTAGGATGCAATAGAGGGCACTTTCGCCCAGGGTTCGATTTCACGTGTTGTGTGCTCGCTGCTGCGATTATTCCTAGACAACGATCTGTTGGGATTCGATGGACAACAGAACACTCCGTAGAAGTGTTTGGTTTTATCTGTTGTAACACAACGGAACCTCTTATCCTCTCATCTCTGGGGAAACACATTTGTTGTTTCGGCAATTCCTATGCAACGGCCCACTGTTATTGCGTTTCCATGGAAGTATACTTTCCGGTTTCATCCGTTGTTACGCAACGGAACCTCTTATCCTATGAAACTGTTCTGGTGTTACTATGGAAACGACTGCTGGATTCGGAACATGTGGCATCTATATAACAGGTACATAAAAAAACGCACGTATTCGAATGTACCTCTTATCCTCTCATCTCCGGGTAAACACGTTTGTTGTTATGCAACTGTTCTAGCATTACTATGGAAATGACTGCTGGATTCGGAACATGTGACATGTTTTTACCTGTCACAGGTGTGACATCTATATAATAGGTACATAAAAAACGCGCATATTTGAATGCAATGTTGTGTCAAAATTTCAAAGCAATCGGTGAAGAACTTTCGGAGATCTTCGATCAGAGACAAACGAACATTTACATTTTTAGTTATATAGACGTATAAGCAGGGTTTTGTTTGAGGATTATAGGATGTGCCTTGGTTTAATATGATGGGGAAATAGTTCACTGTGCTGTAAATAAACTGTTCCTCCTTTTCAGTTTTCAGCTTTTATGAATTCCTCCAAAGTTTATAAATTCTATTGTTGTATATACAGTTATAGTATTTGTGAACCTAGCTTCACCTCTTTTTCTTACCTGCCATACATGTTTGTGCTAATCTGTTTTGAGGTCCCCTCTGTTTTGTGAAGTGTTTCGTGGACATATGGGAAGCTCGAGTGGAAGGAAAGGCAGAAGCTTTCTGTCCTCCCATGTTTCTTCTGCTATACTTGTAAGCACAAATGTCTCTTAATGTGACACTGCTATGAGTACTTCATAATTTGTCATGAAATTTAGTTAAAAAATGTGATCATCTTTAAAATATGTCTAAAGTAGTTGGCATGTTTCTCATCATTAGAGAAACAGAGACCATTTCCTTTCCAATCTCTCCCATTATGGTCTCATTATCTTCTGTCTGTCTGGCAGGCATGAATGAATCCATTTCATAAATGGAAGTGCTCATGACGCAGGATTTCATTTTACTGCCAGTGATAAGGTATTGATAATGAAGATCCAGCAGTTTGATGACTTCAGATCACAGTGGCATTTGGTAATGCCTAAAGTCTAAATAAACTTCACCACAAAACTTCCAGCTTCTAACATATCCAGTTGTGCAAGTCTTGGTAGTGACAGCATTGTGGAATAACCAGCTTAAAAATGAAAAGAGAGGAACCCAGCATGATACAGTGAATTCCTGTGTAGTTGCTAAATAGTGAATTATTGACATACAGAATTAGCCATGTGTTGAAATTTAAAGTTCTCAAAGCAGCAAATGTTCTTTACAGTCTTTTGGGTTGTGATGCCATGTAATTTCATAGATAAGGCTTCCTGACAGCTTGTTGTGACATCCTAGAAAACCACTCTTGACACTATTGCCTGTCATGTGGCTTGATGACCAATTGACCTTATGTTCACAGGTGAAGAAATACCGCATCCTGTTTCTGCGTTTCACTCACGAGGATCCAAAAGCTCAGAAGTACTTGATTGGCGGTATTGAGCAGGTGATTGCTTTGCACAAGGATGCTCTTCTGCCAAAAGTGCCTGGAATATTCAAGGTTATTTTAGTTCTAATGATACGTTTTTAAACTTTTACATATAAATCTCAGATACCACAAACATGCAAGCCTTGCAGGATGATTTCAAAATCTTTAAGTACCATGTTTGTTTGAGGAATTGATGCCTTCACATAATTTGCACACCTTTCTTTAGACAAGATATTTTAGGAAAGGAATTATATTCCATACTTTTAACTCCAACTTTTGGCCACAAATAATACGTTAAATAGGTATGAACAATAATGCAATCTCTTGTCTTCATGTAGTCTCCTAATTTATACATTTTCATTTTGACCAAACAAGTTGGCCTTTTACATTTTGCATTCTAACATGTATGCTTTCTTGGCTAACTAGATACAGGCACATGAATAAAATCTGTCCAAAAATAAGCCTTTTTATATTCAGTGGTCTTTAGATCAGGGTTCTTCAGTCACATTATTTGCTGAAATGTTATGTAAATATGGGTCCTGTTCTCAAGGGTTTTGGAACTGCAGGCATTTGAAATGTAGGTTGACTTTGAATTTATTACTGGAAATAAACTTTTTAGTGGGAAAGGGATAAGATAAACTGATCTCATTTAGTTTATGTCACTTAAAGCAGTTCAAAATATGTGCCATCAACTTGGACACACAGCTTGGTTCGTTTAACTAGGGAACATGTAAACTAACAAGGAAATGCCACATTGTTAATGTGTTTAGCAGCACCAGAAATATGCTGAAGGAATTTTGTCTTGTGTCACTTCACATTCTTTAGGTTATCCAATACGCTCTAAGGGGCTGAGATCCAGTGGATGTGGTGGTCAGTTTAGTAGACCAACATCACTAATCCAGTGGATAGTGAACTGTTCATTCCAATACAGTGTGATGTTCCTAATGAAATGCTGGGATGCTTTTTCATGCCAGTAGTACATGTGCAAATATTTTATAAGCGTATTACAAGGTGGTTCAAATATGACCGAGACTGATTTGTGTGTAAACAAGCTGCACTGTGCAGCAGCTGTGCAACCTTGAGAAAGTGAAGCCACAACCTCCACCCTCCCTCNCCCCCCCCCCCTGTTTGGGTTAGAACCTGTTCAGCCCTGCCTGGGAGTTGCTAGAGCGATGAGCGAACAGAAGGTATTGCTGAGATTGGAACAATGCATTGTGATCAAATTCCTCATTGGAGAAAACATCCTGTCCGCTGAAATTCACCACAGACTCCAACAACAGTATGAAGAGTGTCTCTCACAGACCTGTGGGTTTGAGTGGTGTAAGTGCTTCAGAGAGGGCAGAGCACGCGTGGAGAATGAACCGCATGATCGTTGGCTGTGAACATCCATCACCGAGCCAAACATTGATCGTGCAGACGCACTTATTCATGGGAATAGGCGGATCACTATCAAGGAACTTGGAGCAATGGTGTCCATCAGTGTTTGTAGTGCAGAAGATATTGTGAAATACCACCTGCACTATCGCAAGGTGAATGCATGGTGGGTACCACACACTTTGACGGACGTGAACAAAATGGTGTGCATGCAAGCTGCCAGTCATCTCCTACAGCAGTTTGAAGATGAAGGTGATGCATTTTTGAAGTCTATTGTGACCATCGATGAAACATGGGTGCACAACTTCATTCCCGAGTCCCAGCAGTCATCACGCGAGTGGTGGCATACCAGTTCTCCCAAACCCAAGTGAGCGCGGAAGAGCCATTCGGCAGGAAAAGTGATGGCAACATTCTTCTGGGACTGGCAGGGGGTTATCCATGTAGACTTTCTGACAGATGCCAGAACAGTCAATGCAGCTTATTACTCAGACCTCCTGGCAACAGACGTGAAGGAAAAGATCTGATCCGAGTGGAAGACATGTGGAAAGCGGGTAGCCTTCCTTCTTGACAATGCACGCCCCTATACAGCCAAAACAACGATGCAAACCCTCCGGAAATTGAAATGGAACCTTCTGACACATCCGTCATACAGTCCCGATTTGGCCCCAAGTGATTTCTGCCTGTTCGGAAGTCTCAAATCAGACTTGCAAGGCATATGGTTTGTGGACGACACCGTCATCCAAACTGTTCTGGAGTGGATACACCGCCAACCACAAGCCTCTTTGGAAAGGGCATCAGAATGCTTCCAGAACGTTGGAAAAAATGTATTGACTCTGGAGGGGAGTACGTTGAAGACTGACATGTGCTAGTAAGTGTTTGGCAATTATGGTTTTTTAAAAAAAGAAATCAGTCCAGGTCATATTTGAACAACCTTGTACGTTACTTGTAACATGCAAAATACAACAGTGTAACAACAGAGCAGCAGTTTTCATCTACAGTCTTATACACCTGATAAAGGCATGTTAGGCCGAAACATGTAGCGTTAAGTAAATAATAGTAAGAGACAAAGAGCTTTTGAAGTGTGAATTTTAATATAGGGATGAAGTTGCACAGAGAAGGTGGAGTGAGAGCTGAAATTGGGTGCTTCAATACAGTATTGTAAATTGTTTGCAGATGTTCTATGATGCTGATATTCTGGAGGAGAAAGTTCTGCTGGAGTGGGCAGGGAAAGTTAGTAAGAAGTATGTGAGCCGAGAGTTGAGCCAGGAGATCCACACCAAGGCAGAGCCTTTCATCAAGTGGCTTAAAGAGGCAGAAGAGGAAGATGACACAGATAGTGAAGATGAGGAAGAAGATGATGATCTGGAAGTAAGTACATGAAATTTGTTAATTTTTGACAGTGTGTGGTGCAGAACTCGCATTTTGTGCACTGTGGTACTGTAAAATAAGCCTTAGCCACTTTCTGCCTTATATTCTTAATTCGTTCATTCATAATTACTCTCAAATTTAATTTGACATTAAATGGACTTTCATGAGATAAAGAAGTGTTTACTAATCTGTGAATTAATTTTCTAATCAGATTCTAATGTAATTCACTGTTCTTTCCATCAGCTTGGATCATCTTTTGATCTAATACTTTCCAGTCTTCTTTATCCTAGAAGCAGTTCTTTTGTGTCAGTGTCTAGTCTTTACCTACTGCTTTTTCATAAATATTGCCTTACTTGTTCTCTCCATATAGTCATTTGTCTCCAAATTAATTGTTAATCATCTTCATTTTTATTGCTGTAAGGTATCTGCTTGTAACATGTGAACCATACCACTGTATTTAATCAGGTAACAGGTAAGTAAAGTAAGATGAATTCAATGTTAACTTCATGTTAGCTTATGTGTCAAGATTGTAAAAGTTTAGTTATTTTTGGTGGTGATAGCATATTAAAAGCTAGCTGCAAGAGTATTGGCAAAGACATTAAAATGATAATACTTCGATTAGAGATAGTAAGAAGACATTTTGATTCATTGAGTGGCATGCTGATATAAAGTGAAATCCTCTTATCAGTAAAGCTTGAAGAGGTAATTTCAGATTAATCATCTTTTGATCACAAGTATTCTGTCTGTAATGCAACAAAGTCACCCTTTCATGAAAGGCACTAAAATATATTTAATACATTGAAGTGTTTGTTAAATATTTTAAATGTCATTAACACTATATATTCATTTCTTGTTGCTACATGTTTTGGCCACATATGGGCCATCATCAGGCAACACTTATTGGGCACAGAAGACAAAGTGTACAGTGCAGTGGTCTCCCCAGTAAAAAGTGTTGCCTGATCATGGCCCATGTGCGGCTGAAACATATAGGAACAAGAAATGAATATATGTATATAGTTAATGACATTTAAAATATTTAACAAACACTTTTAATGTATTAAATATATTTTAGTGTATTTTATAAAAGGTTGACTTTGTTGCAATATAGACGGAATACTTACGACCTAAAAATGATGCCACAATGCAGCAGGATTCTGAAATACAGCATTCAGATTAATTACTTTACATAAGAAATTTATGAGATGTGCACCTTGAAATAACAGGTGTACATGTGAAATACATCAAAATACATCACGTTTCCTTTCAGTCGTGTGTGTGGGCACTGCATCTCTGTCGGGTGTAGGCTTATCAGATGGACTGTCCCTTATTTCACTGCCTGTTTAAATATCCACTAAAGGCTTCATTAGGGCACATATGTGGAGCTTGGATGCCAAGCATAAAATCTCTGCACACACATCACATGGGTTAAGATGATTTTATTATTCCTCTCCCTCTCTCAGTGCACTGGCTCAGATCCTTCTCAGATGCTCATTCTCAAGAACATACACTATTTCTTTCAACAAACTTGTTATTTCTTATGATAAATCTTGTTATCTGTTCCTGGCAAGGTCATATTTTATTTCAGCACCCATTTTGTCAGATTACGATTCCCATTCATTGTTAATCTGATGTACGGTAGTTTATCAGTTACAGTTGAACTGAAGCAGCAAATTAAACTTACGAAGTTAAGCACATGCTTAATGAAAATAAAAAAGTTAAATATTAGGTTTGTGTTACATGTTTTTGGGCGGGAAATCTTTTTAAATGGGAAATATGTATACTAGTAAATGTTACAGGAAAAAAAAATTGCTTTGAAGTTTAAGGAGGGAAAATGCCGGTAGCAGTGTTATCTTAAACAGGTTTCACTGTCTACCAATGTCAGCCTGCTTAATCCAGAATTATTCCTGTATTTCTGATGACACAGAGCCAGAATCAGCATATTCTTAGAAATCAGTGTATCAAATACACTGATCTATTGCCCTGGACTTCTGGTGCTGAGGTTAAGACTAAGGTGAAATCTGTGTCTTGCTTTGAGCAGTGTCTTATCAGCCTTCATTGGCTTTGCTGTATAGTAGATGTAGTTGTGTTCTGTGACATCATCATGCCACCTAGGCCAGAGGAAGGGGAAACCTGTGTGGAAGGAAGGAGAGATGTGCATGGTGTAGTGAATGTTATGTAACCTACATTGCTCAGTGGTTAAAACTTGGAAGGGGTAAGTTGCTCACAGATTCTGGAATGCAGACTTTCTCCCAGATAAGGGTGGGTAAATGGGACATGTACAGGCTGCTGGCCCTACACAACTTACAGAACGAGACTGCAGATATGGTTGGTGCAAAACGGGGAAAAAGTAGCTGCTAGTTAGGAATCACCTGTTATGATGAACATTCCCAGAAAAAAAAAACCCCCGTTTTATGCATTGGTTTTCCATGCATTCAGTACTAATAAAGTGACAATTCCAGTGGTTTTTCTCTCCATAACGAAGTCTGTGTTGTAAGCCATATTCAGTCTACCACAGTTTCATTGTGTATTCTAATAGTGATCCATTTCAGTAGCTGTAAGGATATGGCAAAGAACACTTAGTATGCCTTCACATTTCAGAAAATGATTGCATGAGTCAACAGCAATCATTTTGATTTCAGTCATTTTCATTATTCATTCTGGTTAGTGATTGTGCTTGGTTACAATCTTAATGGTATTCATAAATTGTCAATTTTGTTTTGCCAGATTGAATATGATGACCGTGCTAAAGCATCTCCATTGAAAGAACAGCCAAAGCAGATTGTTAAAACAAAGCCTCTTGTTGATCATGATGAAGATGGGGAAGATGACTTGGACATTGATGCCATCTAAGCATTAGGAACACACACTGCAGCAAGATTGATACTTATAGTTAAAATACCTAAAAGCAAAACTCAAAGTCAGATTTACAATACCTGATTGAGTCAGTAATAGTTTTTGCAGGATGGAAATGAGAAGACAATCTAAAAATTTGAAATAAGTTTCATTATTGATACTCTTCTTGCTCAGGCATCGCTTGTTGCTTTTATATATTTGTTTCATTATTCCAAGACGAAAGATTTCAATTTTTAAGAATATTCACCTGAGTGGAACACAGCGCAATCTATATGAAGTGAACATCATTGACAGATTAATTGTATCACATAATAAGCATTTCTTCTCATATCCTTCTTGCAATATGGTGATATTTAACTCTTCCAGTTGATTTCTCTGTTTCAAAAACACTTTTATTGCAACTTCTTTGGTCATTTAGTGGAGTCATCAAAAGAAAATGCTCACTGTTGGTTCCATTTCGGTGCCCTGGTACATTACAGGGTAGAGATGTGTGCAAATGAAAGATGCAATTCAGAATTGTCTGGATTAGATGGTGTAGAAAATCATATTTTTAGTGTGCAAGGTTTTGATTTTTAATGACACTGTAGATGAAAGAAAATTGGACAACCTCACAAATATGGAACATGAGAAAAGACTGATTTTTTTTTGGTTTGCTTGTAAACTGACTTGCAGTAGTAAGAGTTAAAATTAAGAAATACAAAATAATAGCCATAATAATACCTTCTTACCTATATGTTATAAGAACATCTCTGAATTAGAAGTAAAGAGTTTGACTCAAAGGTTTACAGCTAAAGTATTCATTGACTGTCATTTGGGTGTTCATCATTAAGCTGATGTTTCACAGAATTAAACTTACTGGTGTACCTTTGTGTATTCAGAAAGTTAAAGCAGGAAATTGTTTATATACTATACCAATGGTTTATCATTGTAGGATGATGTATTCATGCATAGCCCATAGCTTTTATAATTGTTCAAACAATGAAAAGTTTGTGAAGCTCTGTGAGAATGGAAATTCAGCAGTTATTTCTGGCCATTATTTAAGGACATTAATGGCCATATTTCATTTCTTGAAATATTCCTGTGTCACTATTGTAAATGTCTTTTCAGTGCTGTATATGTGAGACTGAGGAATGTTTTTGGAGAAAACCTGATATACTCAAAAAAATACAGACACCTGGAATTCTTTTCATGTAATATACATAAAGAGAATTAATTGTTGTCTTTTTAGAGTGTGCACATTTTTAGGTATGTATTTATGGATCTAAACTGTTTAAAACTTTTTCCATCATAAATAAAGTTGAATGAATATAAACAATTTTCTGTTAGTGGCTTCATGTTATTTCTGGATGTTACTACCTGTATAGGATTACATCATTCAGTGGCAGTTACAACCCAGCAGTTGTGGAAGGAAGTTAAAAAACATTCATTTCTACATGCATTGTCTTTGCTTCATCCAGTTGGTCGGTCAGTGTTGGTACTTTTTGTCTTTATTTTAAGGTATGCAGTTTCAGCAGACCACTGTAATTCCTTGACGCTTGATTATGTATGAATATCAGTTAAATTACCAAATATTTCTAGAGTCTTTATATTGAGAGTTGTATGTTTAAAATATGTGAGGAAATAAGTTGTTCATGCTTGCAGCTTTCCTTGTTCATTGTTTGCATTTCAACATGTTACGCATTTTCTGCCATGCCCAACAATATGCCTTATGCAGACTGTCCACAAATTTATATGGGCTTGCATTGATTACATTGTAACTATTTTGAATGTAAATTTTAATTGTTACCTTTGAACCTTATTAAAATGTTTAGTTAAGCAAGGTGTGTACTTGCAGCTTTAGTGAATAAAGTTATTAAATCTCTAAATACTTTTTATTTGTAGTTCATTGTGGAACATCACATTTGCGCAGCGCTGATGTACCTGATTTGTATTCAGAGGGTAGACATTTTGTATGTCAACCAGATTACAGACCATCCCGAGACTAGAATTTTGTGTTGTTCCTCAGCCAGTTCAAGCAAATAGTACGTTCGTTGGAGTAGTGACTACTGCTTCCCTCCCAACCCTTTCCAGTTCATCACACATTATCTTGTTACACCATTTCATAGTAAATAACCTCTGCAGTCAGTACATCATCATCATCATTCAGGTTATAAATATTTCACTATGGAGCATGAAAGCACAGTGTAACCAGGGAGTAAGCATCTTGCTGTGCATTGTGACAAGACATATGATGGGCAGCAAATTTAATCAGGACTGTGTACTGTACTATGGTGAACATTAGTAAATCTAATGACCTTAAGAATATAAATTTAGAAATACAGCATTTAATTTGTAAGCCAGATCTACACAGATCTGTAGTCAGTATCTTTTCCTATATAAAGTCCAGCGAGCAGAATTGGCCAAGCTCTAGGAATAAGTATTTTTCTTGGTTAGAACGTTTTAAAAACATTTCTCAGCAAAACATTACCTCATGCATTGAGGAGAGGTTTTCTGAACAAAAGAAATGTCTCACTATGGTGTGGTAAGGACTGCTATCAGATGCAGTACTAAGCAGCGATTTTTGGCTTAGTACTGTATGAATCCAGATTGGCAGGTTTTTTATACATAGGTTAAGCTCAAACTTTGTATATTAAAGTTTGAGCTTGATTTTACCCTGGGTAATACTATTAACTGACTAGTTTGTCTGTGTTCAATTAAATCATATATTGTAAGATTTGAGGCTTTCATATAAAATCATATATTGCTTATGTATAGTGTAAGTATTATAATGTACCACGTATATTCTGTTTAATGAAACTGGAAAAAGGAGATGAGTGTATCAGTACATTTTTCTTGTCTTGCAAAATAAAAATGTTACGTAGTGATTCATAAATGTGACAAATACTGAAAGTGATGTTCCTTTGTAAGGCATTGTAAAGCAGTATGAAACCATCATCTGTGTGGCCAAAATGTAAAGACAGTTGTACTAGAGAATCCTCTCATGGAATGGGGTAACTTCGGTAACATCCAACGTTTGACACACACTACTCCAGCTCACTGAAGCCAAGGTTTGAGGCATCGTCCCAAGGACTGTGGCACTGGGGCAGAGATGACGTCATGAACGATCCCTTTTGGGCTCTAGGAAGCATCCTGTTGTATTTATGCCTTCTACCCTTATGAGACACAATGTGGTGATGTATCCCCTTTACTTATGGGACTGTAATTGTTACCAAAGGTAATACAAATGTAAAGAAAAAAATCATAGCAGCTCCTCAGTAAAGAGATACCTACAAGTATAGAAGGAAGAAACTCTTCAACCTACATCATAGTAAGGCAGCTATGGCACTTCTGTGCCAGAAACTTGCTGTGGGTGAAGTGGATGGAGCCCTTCAGAAACTTTTGATTTATAATAGGGGCCAAGTGAGAAGCTGCCAATTGTGCAGCTACTCAAGAACTTCCCAGCATTTTATGGTACCCGAAGGTTCATTACCGTGTTCACAAGAGCCCTCCACTGGTCCCTATCCTGAGCCAAGGTATCTGTCCGGGTCCGAGGCTTCTTACAAATGTTCGTAACAAGCTTATTTTTTACAGCGAGGAGTTGTTAGCCCCACGCCTGACCCGTAAGCTGGAGGACCACCCCTTGTCTGCTGTCTGCAACTGCTTATTCAATATATTTTCAGCTACCCTCCACACCTGGAGGGCATCTCCTCCATCCGCAACCCGAGGACGTGCCATGCCGTGGTGACAAGGGATCCACCTAACATGGATCCAGAAGGTGAAATGTCAGCAAAATATTTGGTGTACTCAAACCTGAATATTCTAAATAATGGTGATGAATCCATCTTTGAGATTTGCAACAGTAGGGTTATAGATCTGACACTAAGGACCAATGGAGTAAGTAACTGGTCCACTTAGTTCTAAAGCTGGATGATGGTGAAGAGTGGGGGAATGGAACTTTGCATTAGTCCACACTGTTGGTAGATAAAATGGAAGAATCTACCAACAGCCTTCAGTACTCAGACTTTGGTGCATGATAGCCATGTGATAGATGAGCTCTCACTGTTCAATCATAGATACATATGCTTCCATAATTATAACCTGATACAAAATCTTGAGGCTGTACTATCAAGGTGACATGAATGACATGAATAGTATCCCACAATCAGTATTATTTTGGTGATATACACTCTAGAAAATAACAGGGGGAAATTATATGTATTATTATAGCTAAAAAGGTAAAGTTGTCCCTAGTGCTTAACTAATTAAGCACTATGTCATGAAGGCATATGGGGGAGTGGATGTGTAGGTCCACATTTTCTTGACCTCGGCCCTAGTTGGAGGTGAGTGGTCAGCTTCATTCCCATGCCGCTTTACCCCTGGGGAAAGAGGCCCTAGTGCCCATTGGCTAGGAGGTTGGGTGAACCCCAGAACTAATCAGGATGATTTGGAGAAGAGAAAATTCTGTCCCCCACCAGGACTCGAACTCTGACCTCTTGATCATCCAGCCCGTAGCCCATTGCTATACTAAATGCGCTCTGGTAAGCTTAATTACTTCGTAATATAGTTCATCACCCTACTTGAGTTGAACACTTCTGCCACTTCCCAATTACTGGGCAGTAACAGCGCACCTTTGGCTGAGGACTACAAGTTAACCTGATGCACTCTAGAATCACTTCATATGGACAATAAGAACTTGTGTGGATTGTAAGAGGTACCGAAAAGACACTCTCATTTCTACAGTTTTAGGGTCATATAAAGGAGTTCTTTTAAGAACATGTTTTCCTTCAACTCTTCTTCCATATGAAGGTCTATTCATATGTTTCATCCTTCACATTTTCTGATAAATATAATTGATACAATATATAGTCAGGCAAATATGCTGTTTAGCATAATCTCTATTTTGTCCACGTCCCCTTCAATAAGACGATAACATTGCTAATGTTCATAAGTGCTTGGTATTTTGAGCCAGGGAAATTTATGACATTTTTTCAGTACTTCTTCAAGAGTTCAAAGGGCACTATAACCGGAACCAGCCATGTTTGTGCAGTTTTACGTTGTATCAATAGGTGGCAGAAACGTAGTGAACAGTGAGTACTGCGAAATGACCTGCTTGTCAGGTAAGTTTATGCGTTTATGTAAAGGACGTTGTGATCGTTGTGCATTTAGAATTTGTGTGCGTTATTAAAAGTGACGTTATGGTTATGGTGTAACTTTAATTAAAACCCTGTGTTGTGTACACCTCCAGGAGTATTATAGAGTCGATTGTACACTATCGCCATTTTATCATTGACATGCGGTAAACTTCTGGAAAATTTTTAGCAGCTATATATAACTAGTTTTGTGTGAAGACAGCGTATGCGATGTTTACAGTACCAGAAATTTGGACCATTGAATAATTGCTTGCTACAGGTGTTCGAATGGCCAACTAATCAATGGACCGACGTCCGTATGGTGTCTGCTGAAATAGTAATGGAAGAGCGTGTAGAACAGTGAGTACACAGTGTTATATTTATTCTTCCATTTTCGTTGTTGCGTCAAGGACAGATTATTCACTGTTGAATCAGTCGTGGTACAGTGCATGGAATAAGCTGAAAATTAACAGGTCTGACTGGCCTAAATATCACCATTCAACCATTCCTCATTCGTGGTAAAAATGTCAGATTTTGATTTACCATTCTTGAATTAAGCAGGCAATACTTGAATGTGCATATGTGTGACGGTCTGTGCGCTCGTGACATTTCGCCACATCATGGTATTGGATGTTGAAAATTAATTTCAGAAGGCCTGTTTTCTTCACACTTGACTTTTCCCTAGTAGTATAATATAGTGCTCCAAATAACAGGAATTTAATGCAAACTATTGAATTTTGAAGAACTGTAGCCATGTCGAAGATATATTAAGGTGTTCCAAATACAATGCCTCACAATTATGTACAATTATGATGGTAAAGATAGATTCAAAATTAGCTTTCGTGTCCAGTACTTACCTTTTGGCATCATTACTGTAAAAGTTATCAGAATAACCAGAATTTAGTTTGTATAGTTACAGTATTAGCTAGGATAGAATGATCATTCAGTGAGTCAGTTCCATACCAGTATGGGTGTTTATTTTTATATGTAGAGGAATTTGTGAATTATGAAAATCGTAAGTAGAATTAGAATTGTGCATTATGTATGTAGTAGATCAGGCATGTCGAACGCGGGACGATTTTTGGTCGATCTCATAGGCCTATAAGGAATTTATACGTGAAAAGCATGTAAATTCACTTGTAATATAATATGATTATATTCAGATTTTGAAGGGAAAATGTGTATTAAAGCAGTCTGTAGTTTCAATGTATGTTGCTTTTACAACAAACATCATGTGGCATGTTATTTTTACCAATATTTTTGCTTAAAGCGAGGTACAATAGGAGGGGGTGGTAGATCACTGGCAGTTTTGACACTAAAAAAGTCGATCACAATCTGTTTGAAGTTGGACATGCCTGTACTAGATGATAGAAGTGAGAGGCTTATTATTTGGTATTTTAACAAATTCTTTGATTTATATAAGTTACAAATGTGTATGTGTAAAACGTATGACATTTGTGTGCTTTGTTTGCTGAATTATGAAATGAATGGGATTTCAATAGACATTAATTTGTGTGCATTAGTTCACACACTTAAGATATTACAGTAAACTTCCCATTATGTGTCATGTACAAGGGTCTGCTGGTTATGTGAATCTGTGGGGTGCATTGAAAAGCTCTTACATAACCCAATATGAAGTCAGAACAACACGTTTTCATTTTAATTCTTCCACAGACGTTTTCTTAAGTGAATTAGCAGATTGATGGTGAAGAATTTCAGATGCATGTACTGTAACACAATCACAAATTCAAACTGTC